TTTTTTTTTTGGTTTTTCTCCGGTACCGGGAACCGAACTCACGACCTTGCACTTGCCAGACAGGTGCTTTTTGCCGCTGAGCTAAATCCCCAGCTCTTGTTTTTACTTTGTTTTGAGACAGAGAATTCACTGTGTACATGAGGGTGGCCTTAACTCCCAGCAGTCCTTATTCTTCAGCCTCCCAAGTGCTGGGATTACAGTCATACATCAGCATGCCTGGCCTCCTGCCTGGCTCTTGGATCAATTTTTGTACATCATGATATGAGTTAGGGGTCAGTTTAACTCTCCTATGTGTGCAGTGCACCCATGGATTCACGCATGCCGGGCAAATGCTCTACTCCTAAGTCCACGTTAATTTTGTCGTAGAGTACATGGAGATCCTGGCAGCACTCAGGAGGCTGAGGCAGGAGGATCACCATGGGCTGTAGTTTTCCAAGTGTTATATGTCATAGAGTCCTACTATGGACTTTGATAAGCAGGGGAAAAAGCTACCTCTGAAGTTAATGGAATAAGAGGATGCTTTGCCTGGCCAGGGCGTGAGGTGACACCCTCAAGATACTGCTGCTGGGAGTTGGAATGGATAGATTTTGGATGGCATTTGGCAATATATATCAAGGCGTAGCATTTATGTATTTAGAAATTTGCCTTATGAGATGGTTTGGTTTTGTGACAAGGTCTTGACAGGCTGCATTGGCCCTGAACATTCCATAATCTTCGTGCCTCAGCCGTCCAAGGGCTGCGATTACAGATGTGCATCTCCATGCCCAGTTCTTGTGGAGTAATTTTGTTAACTGTAGCAAAATGGATGATTGCTCTGTCAAATAACAGGTATATCCTTCAATGTATCGCATAACAGAACAAATAGTAGTTAATATTACTTAGATGTAAAATCATACATGTTTAGATACATGCACTTTAAAAAATGTCTAGAAGGGTCAGGCGTAGTGGCACAAATGTGGAATCCACTCTTTGGAGGCTGAGGCAGGAAAATCACAAGTTTGAGCCCAGTCTGGCCAACTTAGTGAATTAGCCAAGACCCCATCTCAAGAGTTTAAAGAAGGGCTGGGGCTGGGCATGGTGGCACACCCTGGAGGCTGAGGCAGGAGGATTGCCATGAATTTGAGGCCAGCCTGAGCTACATAGGCCCTGTCTCCAAAGAAAGTGCTGAGTATGCAGTTCAGCACACAAACTCTTGAGTTCAGTCACCATTGTTGGGAAGAAGGGGAAAAAACAGCTCTGTGTAGGGATTAGCAGAACATACCTCCTCTGTTCAGTGAAAGTATTTTGGTCCTCAGGATGGCCAGTTTCAAGGACCACCATTTGTCCTCTCGACACTCTGTCCTGGCCCTGCAGGGCTGGTCTCTGTGTAGGTCGTGAGGACTGTTGCCCCATGCTTTCACGTGAGGCTGCGAACCTCCCGTGTTGTGCATGTTAACACAGGCCTGCTCCCGCCGCTCGCCGGGAATAGTGTGCAGACCCAGCCCCGGTTATGGTAGAGCAGAATTGTGAGAATGTGACCGGGGCAGTGAAACATCTGATATTTGTAGAACCTTATTTTTAGGAAGCACAGATATAATCTTTCCTTTGACTTTAAAAAGAAAAAAGTGTGTGAAAGAATTCCTCCTTTGCTAAAGGTCAGGGATCTTTCCCAGCCACTCCCGGAGCCCCGGGGCAGATTGAATCTTCTTGTCTAGAGCCCAGCATTGGCGTTGCTGTCTGAACAGAGCAGTTTCCATCCCCGTGAGGCCACGGGCAGACTTGTGCAGATGTTGTTCAACACGCTTCCCGGTGCCGCTCCTCACTTGTCCTCTCTTTCTAGGTACTGCTTCTCTGAGATGGCCCCGGTGTGCGCAGTGGTTGGCGGGATCTTGGCACAGGAAATTGTGAAGGTAAAAGAAAGCTCACACGCGAGCCTGCACCATCACTGCACAGGTCCCAGCTGCTGTGTGCAGATTGTGCTGGGCGCTCACCCCACCTTGGCCTTGCCTCGTGCCCAGCCTTTCCCTCTCCGTGCACTCCTATGGGGACCTTGATGTTTGCCCACAACGTTACGTTTGCCTTTGGCCGAGCTAAATGTGTTTCACAGTGGCACAGCGTATGCTCAGCGTGTTCAGACCCCAGAACTACGTTAGAATAATTGCCCTAGCTGGTTCTTGGCCGCCTTGCTGGGTTTGCAGTAATGGCTTCTCCTCTCCTTTAACGGGCAGTCACGCCTGGTGCGATGGTTTCCTCAGGATGCGTACGTGTCAGGGTCAAGCTCAGCGGGACAGTTTGGTTGGAGACGAGCTCTCATCACTTTGTCCAAGACTTGGAGACGCTGGACTCAGTTTGATGTTTTCACCACTTCCTTTCACTCCTTTTTTCTCATTTCCTGGCAAAACCCTTCCTTTGCTGAAGTCTAACCTGCTTCTGTGTCAGAGGCACTGAGGAGTCACAGCGGGAGGCGAGGTGTGCGGTGGCCGTGCCTGCGTCTCCCCTCGCACCTCTGCTCAGCCCACGGGCGAAAGTCAGATTGGGAGCCCTCGGGAGGTCGGAGTGGCTGCCCAGAAGGCCATGAGGAGAAGGATGCGGAGTCTGTGTGTAGACAGCTCAGGAAAGAGAGATTAGGCGTGGAAAACCATGTTGGGGGAACAAGTTTTTGTAGCCTGTAATGATGACATCATCACCAGTAACAGTAGAAAATGACTGCAAGCCAACCAGGGGCCACTCAGAGTCAGTGCGAACTCACTGTACCTCACAGCTGTGTGAGGTAGGAACTGTTGTGATCCCTGATTATAGAGGAAGAACTGAGGTACCGAGAAGTGAAGTTCTGGATAAAATACGGAGTGGTGGTACACGCCTGTGGTCCCAGTACTTGGGAGGCTGAGGCAAGAGAGTCACATGAGTTCAAGGCCAGCCTGGGCTCCATAGTAAAACCCTGTGTTTAAAAAAAAAAAATCCTGAATAAATGAGGTAGAAGAAAGCCAGAAGTGGTAGCACGCACCCGTATTCCCAGCACTCAGGGGGCTGAGGCAAGAGGATCATTAGTTCAAGGCCAGACAAGCAGTGAGCGTGGAGTGTGGCTCAGGGCTAGAGCCCGTGGCTCGCAAGCACGAGGCCCGGCTTTTGAGCCTTAGTGCCACAGAGAAAGTGGCCCGCCAGCAGTCATGCCCTACAGGTCTGGTCCGTGGCCTGTGTTCCTCCCTACCTGGCAGTCAGGCCTCAGATGTTGCCCTAGGCCGCCCTACATCCAGCCCTCGGCCAGACCTCAGCTCGCCCCCGCACATCCTGCTCCAGCTTCCCCTGGGGGATGGAGGTGGGAGGTTGGGGCAGGTGGCCTCGACCCTGCTGTCTGTAGTGGCTGCTCTGCATCCCAGTCCTAATGCTTCTCCCTCCTTCCTGCCCACTGAGGACAGCTGTTGCCCAGCATCTTGTTTCTGTTTGTCCCAGAAAGCAGCACACTCTGCATTCTTGGTTGCTGGGTGTGTTTGGAATCTCCTCTGACCCCGTCTTGCTGGGGAGCACTTTACGCTTTGCCCACGTTCACCCCGTGCCCCGCTCTCATCCTGCCGCTCCCCTTGTCACTGACCCAACCTTCAGCCAGCTGGCAAGAGGGCCCTGCACCGAGGGCCTCATCTGACCACCTATAAAAAGGAGCATCGGAGCCGGAGGACATGGACAGTCTGTTCCCTTGGGATCATCTCCTGTTTGCTTCCTTTCATTCGTCCATCTTACCACTACCGTGTCCCCTCCAGAGCCATAGGCTGCCCTTGCTTTCCCTCCGTCCCTGTGGTCCCTAGCAGTCTCCTTACCCAGAGCGGAGGTGAGGAGAAAACAGCAGCCACGCCGGGCCCTGAATTAGAGTCTGGCGGAGGCTGGGCACGGTGTCACGCAGCTTGAGCAGCTACAGCAGGAGCGTCCCTGGAGCCAGGCGCTCCTGGCTCGCCTGCGAATATAGTGAGAGCCCTCTGTAATGCAATAGTGAGAGCCAGTTAATAAATGTAGAAAATGGATCATCTGTAACTTGTAACTTTGCTTCTCGAACTTCCAGCTGTGGTTTGCTAGGCCATTCCACCCGCCTGAGTGTGTGGCACCCCTCAGATACATTAGTAGTGCACCCCTGGTTCCCATTAATAATAGCAAGCTCCAAACTATGGAGAATTTAGTATGTGCCAGGCACATCACAAGCCTGCTCACATTTTATCTTCATCAGAGTTTCTAGCAGGCAGGTAGGCAGGTGCTATTTATTTTTCCCTTCTATAGGCAGGCCTCTTTTTTCTGGTTTTTTGTGTTTGTTGGGACAGGGTCTCACTGTGTAGTTCAGGCTGGCCTTGAACTCGCTGGACTGTGTAGCCCAGGCTGGTCTTGAGGAGGGTGCCCGCCCTCCTGCCTCATCCTTCGCGTGCAGGGATGACAGCCGTGCACCACCACGCCCAGCTGCAAACCTCTGTGTGATCCGGGCTCCTTCTAAGCACAGGGACCTTCTCAGGATCCATAATGTCTGGCACAGCATCTGGGACAGAGCAGATGCCCAGACGTTTTGCTTGGCTATATAATCAGGCCTGTACCTGAGGTAGACAGCACCATCCACTTGTAGATAAAGAAGCAGGGGGGGGTGGGGGTGGGGGTGGCGCTTACTTTCTTGAGAACGTGAGCAGCTGTGCTCCTGGGAGCCGTGTGGGGATGTCCGAGTCTACAACAGTGACTCATGGTGAAGCTTCAGCCTTTTGGGGGTCAGCTGTCTCTTTACAACCTTGCTGTTATCTACGAACCCGTTCCTTAGAAAAACGTGTGCACGCACAGGACTCGCAAGCCACCACAGTGGCTTTCCAGTCTCCATCCCACACGGAAACTCGGAGGGTGGACGCGGTGGTGCACACCTGTCGTCCCAGCACTCTGGAGCCTGAGGCAAGGGGGTGGCTTAGGCGATCTAGCAAGACCTTGTCTCAAAACTTAAACAGGCCCTGGGTTTAGTCCTTCATAGTGCAAAAAACAGCAAAATAAATGTTACTGAACAGTTTCTCAACAGAATGAATACAGTAATTCCAAGGACTTCACCTTGTGGTGGCGCACGCCTGTAATCCTAGCACTCAGGAGGCTGAGGCAGGAGGATTGCTGTGGTTTTTGAGGCCAGCCTGGGCTACATAGGTTAAGGTCAGCCTGAACTACATAGGGAGACCTTGTCTCAAAAGAAGAAAAGCTGGGGATGTAGCTCAGCAGCACAAGTGCCAGCCTCACAGGTGCAAGATCCTGAGTTTGGTTCCCAAGTGCGAAAAAGTGAAAATAAAACAGGTTAAATGATTTGCCTGAACACACACACATTTGGAGATTTGACAATCAAAATTGTCTCCTAGGCCAGGTATGGTGGCACACACCTATAATCCCAGTTTCTCATGGGGCTGAGGCAGGAGGATTGGACTTCTGAGGCAGTTGAAGCAATTTAGCAGGATGATGTCTCAGAATAGAAACTTTAAAATACAGGCGTAGAGTTGGGCACTAGAGTATGTGTGTATAATCGCAGTACTTGGGGAGACTGAGGCAGAAGGATCTTGAATTCAAGGCCAGCCTGGACTTACATAGCAAGACTCTGTCTCAAAAACTAACAAGAAAAAAATTTTTTTGATATCCTTACGTAGCCCCTGTAGAGCAATTGTATCCCTTTTGAGAACCGGGGCTACCTAAGTGCTGCCTTTGTTTTCACTTTGCTTCGTAGACCTTGTGGAGGTGGGTGTGGTGGTGTCTGCGTGCGCTCCCTGTGCCCTGGGAGTGAGCTCCCTTTTGGCTTCTTCCCCAGGCCCTGTCACAGCGGGACCCTCCTCACAACAACTTCTTCTTCTTCGATGGCATGAAGGGCAACGGGACTGTGGAGTGCCTGGGCCCCGAGTGAGCCGGACGTGGCCCTCCGCGCCAAGATGGAAGTGCAGCGCACCCGCCTGTGCTCCGCGTCCCGTGTGCCGGCTCCCGCAAGTGTGGGCTCGCGGATGCTCCTTCTGCCGTCTCCATCCTGACACCATGAGCATCGCCAGCCCCTGGGGACCTGCCCAGGAGCCTCTGTTGCCTTCTTGGACTTACTCCCCACCTGATACCTAGAGCTGAGTGCAACTTCAGGTGGGGAGTAAGGCCTGAGCCGAGTGACACCCCGTGACTCCCGGTGCGCGCTCAGGCAGGTGCCCTTCTCGGCCGGCCTGACGGGCGGAATTCCTTCCTCCAGAGTTGGACATCCTGGAAAACAACAGGTGGCCTCGGGCGCTGCTCTTGAGTTTGAGTTTGGGATTAGGCGAGCTCCAGCCCGGATTTCGGGAGGGAGGAAGCACTGCCCCGGTCTGCGGCAAGTGGAGGGACAGGGAGAGCTCCTTTTAGAAAAGTGGGTCCCGCCCCACCGCGCGCAGCCGTCCTTCGTTCACCCCTGAATCGCAGCTGTTGGTGTTTTACATATTTTCTACATGGTTCTTTAATAAGGAATGATAATAAAGTTACTTGCTTTAGGCTTTGTGTGTTTTTCTTGCACATTCAAAACTGCCAGGGTGTGATCCTGCCAGTTGCCCTTTTTTTTTTTGGGTACCGGGAATTGAACTCATGACCTCAGACTTGCCAGGCAAGCACTTCAGTTGCCCCTTTCTTTAAACCTGCAGAAATGTCATTTGCCACACGCGCACTGCAGCGAGGGTCAGGTCCCCAAGTTCTGGAGCGCCCCGCCGTCTCCGCACAGTTGGGCTGCCTAGAGGCGGGTTTCAGCGGTGGTGATCGTAGTGACAAGTCACACGATGCTGCTGCTGCTGTCCGCCCGGGAGTGGCAGTGGGTGTGACGCCGCTCAGAGGCCAAGTGCTGCCCAGCCGGCGCTGCACCCGGCTCTGGCTAGGGGAGCCTTCCCGGCTGCCAGCAGTCACCCTGCCCCCGCCCCGGCTGGGCAGATGCTGCTGCTCCCGCCTCTCCTTGAAGTGAAGGAGCGCTGGTTCCTTTCCTGTCGCCACAACCGGCCCCAGGCTGGGGCAGACTGGCCTGTCCTGGGAGAGGCTGCAGCCCCAGCCCAGACCGGTGCCTGCAGCTGCCGAGCTGGAGGCTTTAGGGCACCGTTAGTGCCCGCTGTGTCAGGGTCAGCAGTTTCCTCGCAGCCTGAATTTCACGGGGTCTTCGACATTTTGAGCTAATTACTCCCTTGACTTTGCATTGTGCAGCCTTGGTCACAAGGGGGAGCCGGTGGTCCTGGACAGACAGCAAGATTACAGCCAGCTCCAGTGCTTTGCCAACTTTCCACCCACTACCTGCCGGGCGGCAGAGACTGAATCACCCAGAGAAGACCCCTGAGGGACTGGGAGGTGGAGGAGGTCATGCTTGAAGCAGACAGCCCCAGGCAGCAGCTACTGAAGTTTGTTCGGATGTCTTACACCCCTTACAGGTTCACGTTACCCGAAATGTGGGTTTTCCTCACTTTCCAGCAGGTGAACAGGATACCCTGTGGTTTCTCGTCCTCCCAGGCAGTGTGCAGCCCATTCGGGAAGGAGGGGCCGCCTACCAAGCGGTGGGGGTCATCCAGTGAAAGAAAATAGTGGGCTCTGGGGCTCCCATAGTTTTCATCTCTGGTTTGTGTAGTAGCAAAATTCTGCTAAGTACTTAATATGTTGAGTCATTGAACCTTCAAAGTCTGTTGGAGAGCTGGGCATGTGACCCACACTACAATTCCAGCACTTGGGAGGCTGAGGCAGGAGGATGGTGGAGTTTGATGCTAGCTGGGAATAGATTTTTAAAAAAAGAAGTGCCATGTGAGAATTTCTTAGCCCCATCTCAGCTCTACCTTCCCGGCCTCCCTCTAAGGCCAGACCCTTTTTCAGTTCTTGCGTTCCCTTGGTAAATGGAAATGTGTGCACCTTGAGATCCACAGATAACCTCTTCCCAGGTGTGGAAGTGAGGCTTAGGTTGTAGTTGGCAAGACAAAAGTCCAAGAACTAATAGCTAACATTCGTTATGCCACACTTAGTGCCCGGCATCGTTGGAATTCCTTAGACGTTGTAATTGTTCAAACCCCACAGCGACCCCAGGGAGACAGCCTCACCCAAGCAAGGGCTGGGCAGACCGCCAATGAGCGCTCTCGGTGTGAACAAGGAGACGGTGTTGCCTGTACACAGCCCTGATGGCCCAGTGACATCTCAGGCCCAAGACCTGAGCCAGAGCCTTCAGATAGTCCCAGAAGGGCAAGAGGATTTTGTTTTTAAACCTGTAAAACAGCTGGGCATGGTGGCTTACGCCTGTAATCCCAGCACTCAGGAGGCTGAGGCAGGAGGGTCGTGGTGAGTTCGAGACCAGCCTGGGCTACAAAGTGAGCTCAAGGCCAGCCTGAACTGCACAGCGAGACCCTGTCTCAAAAAGACAAAAAAAAAAAAAAAAATAGGGGCAACCCACTCAGGGCCCTTCTTCTGTCCCTCTCTCAGACAGAAGCAGCTTTCTTTCCTTCAATAAATATACTCTGCTCTTTAAAAAAAAAAAAAAACAGACTCAGCCACTTAGCTGTGTGCCCTTGGGCAAGTGAATCTTTGGACCTCAGTGGCTCCCTCTGTAAAATGGGTATGATAGCATGTCCTGAGGCTGGGGTAGCTCAGTGATACACCATGTGCTTAGAGTGCAGGGCCATTGCCATGCTCTTCTCATATATGGGGCAAAGGGAGTTGATTCCGTGCTGACGACTTTCTCAGTGTTAACTATTGTGCAAATCATAAAAATGTTAGCTTCCCAATCCTGGGTCAAAGTGCCTGAGATAAATCAGCTTGAAAGGGGAAAGTCAAGAGTTGGAGGTTTCAGTCAGCTGAGTCCAAGGCAGAAACAGGGAGGAAGAGTATGAAGAGGAAGCTGCTTCCCTGGTGGCAGGAAGCAGTGAAGGTCGACAGAAGACAAGAGGAAGAGGCCCTGGGCAAGGGCTAGTTAGTCCCGGGTCGCAGCCCCTGGCCACGCCCCTTGCCCAACCCCCCCACACCCCACCCTTTCATCACCTCCCATCAGATTGAGCTAGAGCCCCAGTACACCAGGCGCTTCCCAGGCCCGGCTTCAGAACAGCCCTTATGGGAACATCTTACTTTATTTATCTTGTGATACTGAGGATTGAACCCAGGAGCTCTCTACCTCCCAGCTAGGTCCCCAGCCCTTTTTATTTTGAGACAGGATTTCATTAAGTTACCCAGGCTGTGCTCAAACTTGTGTTCCTCCTGCCTTAGCCTCCCAAGTACTTGGGATGACAGCCACCCGCCTCCGTACTTGACTTGAAGATATTTTAGACACAAACCATGACTATTTTATTGCAACTGCTTTCTCCATTCCCCCCCTCCCTTTTTTTTGAGACGGGGTCTTGCTATGTAGTTGAGACTGGTGTCGAACTAGTGGCAATCCTCCTGCCTCAGCCTCCTGAGTACTGCTGAGATTATAGCTGTGCACCACCATACTCGGCCCTCCCCATTTATGTCCTAGAGATCCTCAGCATTGTGAACCAAATCCCACTACCACTGTGCGTGCGTGTGTGAGAGAGTGCGTACATGCTGCTGGGGATGGAACCCTGTGTGTCGCACCTAATCCAGCGCTGTGCCCTGAACCCTACACTTGTATTTGAGCCATATGTCTGCTGTGAGTGAGGTTGAGCTGTCGTGTGTGCACACTAGGAAAGACTTCTCCAAGACCCGATTTCAGGGTTCGAGAGTAAATGAACATATCTCAGGTTGTGGTATTTTCAAGAAGACTGTGGGGTGGGGGCTGGGACTGGGGCATGGTAGAAGACAAGGGTGGTACTATTCTCTGTGACAGAGTTTTTTGTTTAGTTTTCAGTACCAGGAATCAAACTCTGGAGTGTTCTATCACTAAGCCACATCCCCAGGCCTTCTGTATTTAAGTTTTTAAATCTGAGATAAAAGCTTGCAAGTTGCCCAGGTTGGCCTCAAACTTGGGATCCTCCTGCCTCAGCTTCCTGGAAGTATAGGCATGCGCCACTGTGCCAACTAGGTTTCATTTACATGTTGTTGTTTCCGTAGTTGATACTTGCATCTCCTGCCAAGCTGCAAGTTTTACAAAGATACACACACAGTAGTATCTTCTAAGGGAGGAAAACGGACGCACAGGGTGACCGTTGCAGGAACATTTGGAGGCAGAGCAGGTTCCAAGTTTGAGATTACCTGGCTAGAAGTTGCTGTTTGCAAGAAAGTGGTCATGGTTTATGGGTTAGGGTGGTTTTTTGTTGTTT